CAGGGACGGCTCCCTACAGTCTTACCCTGCCTGGGGAGTGGATGGGGGATGAGAAGGGGGGGTCAGTGGGGAGTGTGGGAGAGAGAACTGAGATTGATATGTAAAATAAGATTATTTCTAATTTAAATTAAAAAAATTTAAAAATTGTCCATGTGATTTATACCATTATAGCTGGTATGACCTAATGCAATTTTCTTGGTGAAATTTCTTGGGTAGTGAGGTGGGGGTGTAAGACATTTATGCTACTTCAAGTTTAAACTAGAAGATATCAGATTAACTGTGTTGTCATATTTATTTATTATATCTTTTATTATTACTATTCAAGACCAAAAAAATTAATGTAAGAATTAATGTATGTCTATGTGCATGGAGACAGGAAAAGAATCTAAGTGTGTCTTACATTACTGAAGAGAAAATGGTGAAGTTCACAACTTTAAATTTTTATCCCTCTTTCTGTCTCTGGTGTGTGTGTGTGTGTGTGTGTGTGTGTGTGTGTGTGTGTGTGTGTGTGTGTGTGTGTGTGCGCGCCCGTAAATGTGCAGAAGTCAGAAGACACTGGGTGTCCCACTGTATACAATTTTCTGCCTTACCCCTTGACACAGGACCTATCTCTGCACCTGGAGCTCATAGGTTTTTGCTTGTTTAGTTTTTGTTTTCACTAGGTTGGCTGTTCAGCAAGCCCCAGACACCCAGTGGTGGGGGTGCAGGCACATGCAGCAATGTCCAGTTTTTTCCTAGGTGTTGGAAATCCAAACTCAGGTTCTAATGTTTGCCCACATATTCTTACCCATGGAGCCATCTCCCCAGCCCCACCTTAAAATTGTAATTGATCAGTTCATTAAGATATCAAGTTCAAAAGTATCTGCTCAATAACCATTCCTGAGTGACACTCTTCACACCATCATGGCAGTGGTGAAAACAGATAACTGTGACAAATAGGCATCCATCTAGCGACCAAAGATAAACATAAGAGGCAACAGTAACCATCGAGGACCCACTTGGTACCAATAGCATTTGTTACATTCTGAATGGATCCAGCTAATAAGTTGCAGAACAACTTGGCTACAATGTAAGCTTCCTGGCAAGCTTCATTTTGCTTTATCCACTAATTGTATGCCCCCTACAAATGCTCTGACACATGCAGGTGTCTGGTGGAGTAGTTGGAGGCTTTGAGCTGAAATCTACAGGGGATGAGAAGTGAGCTGCTAAAACAGAGGACATCAGGCAAGTTTTGACACCCAAGAAATCCAGGGGCTGCTGACATCCAAACTCAGAGGAGCAGAGAGTGAGTGGAGGGTGAATGAAGAGAGAGGAGAATAGTGTCTACTGATAAGGAATGCCCCTTCAAAGGGTTTCTTGTAACTTCAGCAGGATCTAATTCAGCCACCTCCTGAAGACAAACTAAAGGGGAGAAAGCCACCAACAAGACATACCCAGAAGGGCCTTTATGAGCCTTAATGGTCAGTTCAGAACACAGATATTAACTTAGGTGATCACAGGGATGATGAATGGCACTGAGGGGAGACACTTCTAGGGGAGAAAACAATAGAGCAAAGCAACCCAGTGTGGGAGACCAAAGCAAGAAAACAACGCTAACATTTATTTTAATCACCCTAAAAGCTATCCCCCTTTTTTGACATTTTAGAAGTAGAAAAGGGCATATCCCCATATATTTGTCTACAGCTGTTATACTCTAGACCAGATTCTAAAGCTTTTTAAATTTTCTTCATTAAAAGGAATCTGTTTCAAATACTTTTTCAGCCTTGGGAGAAAGACACAACTGAATGTTAGGAAACAACACCCAGCCACTCACAAGGCTCACTTTTCAAAAAGCCTTGCACCCTTGATATACATGTGGGAAATTCTCAAGAAAAAAATTAAATGACAAAAAGTTAGTACCTTATTCCAAACTATGGTAAAATGTTTACACTTGGATTACCCAGAAGCCAATACTTCCTGTCCCTATAACACAAACACATGCTCAAGTCCAGTGTAAAATTATGACCCCCCAATCTGGAGGGCCAAGGCCTCATTCTAGTTTGCTTTCTGTTGCCATGATAAAACACTGACCTGGACCAACTTGAGAGGAAAGGGTTTACTTCACCTTCCTCTTCTGGCTAGCAGTCCGTCACCAAGGGATGTTGGAGCAGAACGAGGGACCACAGAGCAAAGCTGGCACTGGCTTGTCCCTGTGGCTCATGCTCAACTTTTTTATACAACCCAGGACACCTGCCCAAGGGTAGCAATGGCCACAGAGAGCGGGCCCTCCTTTATCAACCAACAATCAAGACCATTCACTGTAGACATAGCCACAGGTCAATTTCTCAATTGAGACTCTCTCTCCCCAGGGGATTCCTGGTTCAAGACGACAATAAAAACTAACAGGACAGGCCTATTCGGAATAGAGCTTTTTTATGTACCAGTGGAGATTTCATTATATAAGAATAATATATCTGAACATCTGGAAGAATTATTTAGATGAATTCTTTTTCCAATGTACAAAGGAAAGTTTTACACACACACACACACACACACACACACACACACACTGTATAAAATACACACAGAGTGGATGACTCTAATTTCAGTCATGCATTATAGGTTGTAAAAATGTCAGTGATTTGAAATTGAAAAATAGGAAGCATTAAGCAAAGTGTGGTGGTGGTGGTGGGGGGGACCAAATTCTAGTTCTTTCTTAAGACACCGAATTAATTATGAGAAGAAAATACTATGTGGGGATTCTAGATGTTCATCACCAGATGCTCCTGGGGTCCTGAATAACCACTATTCAGCCCGTTTTAAGCGTAAGTCATCAGCCATGTCTTTACCTTCACACCCGCTCAACCCTTCAGTTTCCAAAGTGATACATCTATACATCGGCGTTCCGGGTTCCCGTCCCCTCCCCCTCCGAATATTAATTCCGAGTCAGGCATTTGTGTTCACATCTCAGCTCCACCACCACACACAGAGACAGCAAGTAAACTTTCTAGACCGGTTTTCAAAATGAAGAGAACACCTCACATCATTGCTAACACTGTTTCCAGTCCCTTGCCTGTTCTAGTCGCCATTCCCTTTAAGCCTACACGTGTCTCAGCTCAAACCAGGCGTTCTTGGAAAACTCTGACAAGCCCTTCAGTTGCAAATGTCTTACTAATGTCCAACCACATTTTTTTTTTCTCCTTCCCTTACTTTTCACTTGGCAGTAGCTCAGGCACCATCTTGTGACCCCCTGTCCACTGCTGACTCAAATTAATTGAATTGTTTTTGTTTTTAAATTTAGGTGGGCCCCCTGAGGACACCGGCTGGATCTCATTTCTTTAAAAGAAAAAAAAAAAAAGATTTTTTTTTTCTTTCTTTCCTGGGAACTTACCCTGGGCCAGCTAAGCACTGTGGATGCAAGGATTCAAACAAGGGTTCTTATTCTTTCTCTAGGGGCAACTCCCTGGATGGAGATGACCTTGTACTTACCATAGATGTTTAGTGACATAGGGCAAAGGGGGGGATCAGGGAGGAGGGACATGGACAGGTGGGGAGCGCACGGGAACCCTGGTGGTGCCAAGCAGGAAGGACACAGGCTGTAAATATGATCCATTCACAGTGAAGACCAAGGCTCACTCTGACACTGGAAAGGCGGACAAAGGCCTGTGACCCGGGGTCGACCCTGAAGACAGCGGCTGACCCATGCGCCTGAGGCTCGCACGTGGCGAGCCTGAACTTGGGATGGGGTAAGGACTGCCCTGATGACCGTGCTGTGGCTGGAGGGGTCCAGGCCACCAGCGAGGGGAGCGAGATGACCACAGTGCTGCCGCAGAGGAAGAGGACACCCTCCCGGGAGGTGGCAGCCTCGCTCCCGGCCCCGGCGCAGGCGGCCTGGAGCACTGGGGAGCTCTGGGGAGCTCTGGGGACGGGGGACAGGGCACCCCCAGCGGCAGCACGCGCCGCCGGGGACCTCCGGACTGCAATGCACCTGAGCCGTGCAGGA